GATGCAAAAAATAAATACAGACAGGAACAAATTACAAAATGTAATGGAGATTATAGGAAGATATGGGCGAATATAAATACATGGTTAGGTCGAAATAAAAATAGCTTAGATGATGTTATTTTAAAGCATTTAGGAAAGACGGACAGCATAGAACAAATTTGTACACAGTTTTCTAAAACATTTACGGAGGAAATAAAGGCAATTAAACATACCTGTAACTCAAAATTCTTAGATAGAAATAAATATGTAAAACCGAGTGAGGTGAGTTACAGATATAAAAAAATCACTCCAAGAGATGTAGAAAAGGTCATAGAGAATTTGTCTTCTGAAAAAGCCCCCGGTCCAGATACAATAAGAGCGCAGGACATTATATGTATAAAAAAGAGAATAAGTCCGGTTTTAGCTTTATTTATAAACAATTCACTAACTACTGGTACCTATCCCGACATGTTAAAAAAGGCAATTATCCGTCCTATTTACAAATCAGGTAGCCATCTGGAATTTGTAAATTACAGACCAATCGCAATTCTATCAGTTATTGATAAAATTACTGAAAAAATAATTGTAGGTCAGATTAGTGGGTTTTTAGAACAACATAAAATATTATGTGACACACAACATGGTTTCCGCAGAGGACGGAACACTGTCTCTGCTTTATTAGGTTTTTCTGATTACATCAATGGTTCGCTAGACTCGGGGAAACAGGTTATAGCTCTTTTTATTGATTACAAAAAGGCATTTGACACATTAGACCATGATATCTTATTACAGGCGATGGACGATTGTGGAATACGTGGGCCCACAAATAATTGGTTTAAAGACTATCTAACCAATAGAAAAATAAGTACAATGATAGCTGGCAAGACAGGGGAAGAGGCGGGTGTCGACCTAGGTGTGCCGACTGGATCGGTGTTCGGGCCAGTGGGATACATAATGCATGTGAATAGTGTGTCAAATGTCGTCAACAGATGTAGAGTGTTCATGTACGCTGATGACATGTGCCTTATCTATGCATCCAAAAATATAGTGGAAGCCCAAACGTTTATACAGGAGGACTTTGAAAATATTAGCAAGTGGGCACACGATAACGGAATTATCTTAAACACTACAAAAACTAAAGTTATGCATATACATTCCCCGTACAATTATATTGCCAGATCAGTAGACAATGGACATATCACACTAATAGGGCACACTTATGAATGTCTACATAGAAATAAAAACAACTGCAAATGTAATAAACTAGATAATGTACTTCAATTCAAATACCTAGGCCTAACAATAGATAAAAATTTTAACTGGAAATTTCATGTTAACGACATTTGTAATAGACTAAGATCTGTATTAAGTAAGATTTATCAATTAAAAAATGTACTGAACAAAAAGACTCTCAGATTAGTTTACTTTACTCTTGCAGATTCGGTAATAAGTTATGGCCTCCTTGTGTATGGTCGAACATTTATTACATATATAAAAGACATTAAAGATATACAAATAAGACTGATAAAGTTCCTAGTAAGTAAAAATGTTAAAGATAGTTGCAAAAAAGAGTATGATAAGTTATTTTCTATTTGTAAAATTTTACCCATAGACAAAAAAGTAGATTATTTAGTAGGTTTGCAATACTATTTTAATGACGATTATAAAGTTAATGTAAAGAACAAATATAATACGCGTAGGGTTAGAGAAAAAAAACTAATATTACCAGAGATAAAAAATTATTATGGCAAGAGAACATCCGCATACATAGTTCCTAATATATTTAATAAAATAGAGATGCTAAGAGAAGAAGGGAAAAAGTTACCCAAAGGATCTCTTAAGTCAAAATTAAAAAGCTTTATATTAGATTATTAATAAGAAGTAAGAATGTTATGTTTGTGTGTGTTTTTATGTTTTGTTTCTTATGTTAGTCAATAATTATTATTATATAAACTGTGTCATACCTAGCTATAAGTACATAGTATGCATAAAATAGGAATATTTAAATAAATAAAAAAAAACCTAAGTAATTGCACCTAGGTACTAAATTCACTATTATGTATAAATATGTTATTGTATAAAGAGCGCCTCTCGCCATCAAACGTTAAAGTTTGGCGAGTTTAGATGATAAGGACACTTTTCTGTAACTTTACTAATTAAATTATTTAAAAAAAAAAAAACAACGCTGTGTTTGTTTCACGCCGGTTTCGTGTGAGGCGGTGGTATCACTCCGGTCGAAGCCAACCCAATCATGCCGAAGCTTGAGAGCTTGAAGAGATATCTTAGATATCTTTACAAAGAGAAACTTTGTTCCAATTTGCTTACGTCTTAGATCCCTCAAATAAAATGCCAACAACAGGGGGCCCGATTTGCCATTTTCAACGTTTTGCCCGTATTGACATCGTATTGTGAACTTCGGATAATGATGAATAGGTTAGGCCTACGTTTCTTACTTTCTCGCGCAAACAAATAAAATTTTGCGACGCTTACCTCTATACAGGTAGTTTTCAAAGCAAAATGCCACATATATACTTAAAAAAAAGAACTGACAATAGATAGATAGGACAAGGTCACAAAAAAAAGGTTATGTGTATCAGCTGTTTATTTTCCCACGCCATTTGTAATTCTTAATTGTTATATTGACTGTAGGTCGCTATTAACTGGTGATCAATGATTTTCGAACGCAAATGTTTTTAGAAGATTCTCTCACACATATACAAATAAAAGGAAGTCAATAGAAAATATAATTTTCTATAAGTACAAAAATAAACATGGATGACTAAGAGGAAGCCTTATTCCAGCAGTCTTAGAGCTAGTGATGATGATGATTATATGTATAAAAAATATTCAAAATCTCCTTGGTCATGGGATCACTTGTTAACAACTACCCACAACCACAATCAACGCCAAATCCAATAATAATTTTAAACGGTAGCCAAGGTCAAGCGAAGGTCTCTACAAAGTATATTTAGAAAAGTAGAGAAATAAAATCAGGGAATAGCAACCTTTTTGCTGTCAAAACAAATGACTGACAACGAAGTTGGAAACACGCACGCGATGCTTCGCAGGGGTGGGCAATTTAGGCAATAAATATCATAACATATTATCATATGAGCACAATTCAACGTCGGGTATTTAGTCAGTAAGGGTCTGACACTCCCTTTAGCCTAACCCAGGGAGTAGTCATTTGATAACCAAAATAAAAAAAAATTTGGTTGTATATTTTTATAACCCTAATTATATTATTTATTTAAATGGTAAATAAATAAATAAAAAACAAAGATGTTGCAAAGAAAACAATTTATAGTTAAGAAATAGTTGGTAGTTACGTTTTCTCACTCATTTGACTAAGCGCTAACCCAGTTTGTGTACAATAACTCTGTTATATTAAACTAGATTCTGTGTTTACTCGTGCTTGCAATCCCCAGAACCTAGACTAACTTACCAAATTAATATTCACTGCTAATCCAAACGAAATAAATCTAAATTAAGTGCAAATTATAAAGCTGAAGAGTTTGTGTTTGTTTGAACGAGCTGATCTCCTGAACTACTAGTTCGAATTTAACAATTCTTTCTCTGCTGGATAGTCCATTAACCGAGGAAGCTACGGTACAACCAATAGAAGCTGTGCTGTAAGAGAAATGACGTGGATAGACCTATCTTTACCTGTAGGATTATAAAGTGGAAATGTTTGTTTCTTTGTTTCAATTGAAAAGGATCTGAGACTATTAAACAATAAATTCTTTCACTCTTACGAAGCTACACTATCTCCGGTGAACTTAAGCTATGAAGTACGCAGGTGATACCGCGGGGCACTGCTAGTTACTTATACTGACCATAAAATGTTATCGTAAATCGCCACAGTTTTCACTGTTCTACGTAAATTGCTACCTACTTATCTAATCGACGGGTTTTCTTTTCGTTCATATGAAACGAAAAATACAAATTATTCGTTAAGATTGACCAGAAAATCTACTGACATGGAAAAAGTCATTCACATGGAATTGATTTAGCTCAATAATGGATTCGTGGTTAGATAAATCAGGGGTATAATAATTTCGATTGATGTCTGTGTGATAAAAGATTAAAGAGGATCTATTAGATTTTTTTGGCACCGGTTTTGTACCAATGGCAGTATAGTCCTGACAAAATAAATGTAGGTAGCATTTTTTATACATTTCTGATGACATTTATTTTTTATTGGTAAATGATCAGGCTTACTTTATTAGGGTTAGCAATCGGCACCGCCTATGGACACCAAATAAAAAGAAGCTTACATAAACAGCAAAAAAAAAACAAGTTAGACTGAAAAAATGCAATGAAAGTGTTATTTCACGCTAGTTGAGTGATTTAATGGAAGAATTTTCTCGAATTGTCCAGAAATATTAAGCATTTGACTGCCGACATTTTTTTTTAATGCTAAGCCTCATTGTCCGACATGGCGTTCTAAGTGCTAAACCTGTGTAATAAGTATTGAAGGTCTGATGTTCCAACTCCTTACTAAGAACTGGCTCCTTCATTGCCTGGATTATTTCCAATAGCCTTTGATTGAATACCTTTGTGTAATACGATTACGTCGTAAATCGTACGCAATTTATTTCTCTGACAGCAATTATAGGAAACACTAAATTTAAATTATTTGAGGTCGTAAGTTTGTGTCTGTAAGTCTACCTCTTTAGATTTTAATGTTTAATTATGTAATTTTAAATTGGTAATTTTATGTTTTTAATTTGATAAATACACGAGGACTTGATATCTCAAACTGATGGGTTATCCATTAATAAACCTTTTCTGTAATTTTTATCTCGTCGTCTGTCAAAAAGTTCGCAATCGTAGTATTATAGCGAACGCTTTCCTTTATTATATAAATGACAAACATTTTCAATCTCACTACAAAAATGTGCTTTCGTTCACTCGGTAAGGAATAAAAACATGATCTAACATTGAGAATTGTAGAATAATGTATAATTATAGGTATTAATATTTCACCCATACTAAACCCTTGTTTACGTCAATTCCAGTACCGCAACAAGCTGAATGAACAACAGAACGGCAGGCTGTCAGCGCAGCGGGCAGCGCTGGGTGCGCGACAGGAGGAGATGCGAAGTATCGACCGCCGAGTCTCTGAGCTGCAGGCTCGGTTGCTGAGGAAGAGAGCTCTGAACAGGCAACTAGCGGCTGCACATCGACAGCCACAACAGCAGAGGTAAAAGTTATTTCGATCCCTTTCTCGCAATCAAAAGTTCCTTTCCAACAACATACATATACCTACTTGTAATGTCTATTTAATGCCACTGATTCCTTATCATTGTGATCTGTGTACTTATGTGTGTAAAAGACAATCACAATTTGACCAGAATACCTTTAGCGGTAGCGTTAGCGATCGGATGTGGAAAGTTTATTTTTCTATTGTGAAAGGATTGCAAATTACTAACGAAACAGCAAAACATAAAGAACTTAGGTCTTATTTCAGAATATAGACTTTGATAAACCTGCACTGTAAACTCGTTCATTGTATTAACTCTTATAAAAATTATACTTAAATTATAAATAAATATAACACTATTAAGGTGCTGCTAGCTACGAAAAATGACATTTTGTCGTATCAAAAATAAAATATTAATTGTAAGCCCATTGTGTGAGTAGGTTTACATTACTCGAGTAAAGTCAGTTCATAAAATTGTCCTTCCTCTAGTTTCTCGTTGAGTGTGGTTCCGTGGCGGTCGCTGTAGAACAATAGAGCTTTCAAGCACAATAGACTATAGAAACAGTTCAATTTTATAAATTATCTAGTAGCTATTGCACGCGACTTCGCTCGCTTCGATAACTGATTTTAAGCAGAATAAACACTTTTTGGCTTATCATCTTTTCCATGGTCTATTTCCTAGTCCTTAAATATTGCTAGATTGCAAAAGACTGACAGAGCTACTTCTCTTAGAGTTTCAAAAATAATCGGGAAAATAATTGGGCGTTGACAGCTGATTTAAGATTGTCCTTGTTTTTAATTTGTTTAATTATTAAAATATATTAATTTTAAATACAATATTGCCTAAAACCATCTCATCACTGAATTATTAAATGTAATTTATGAAGTTTTCAAAGTTTGCTTGCTTTCAAAGTGAAAATTGTGAAGTTAATAAATGTAAGGTTACCGGCATTAAGGATTTCGCTGCATTGTCATCTCGATATCAGGTAAAATACAGTATTATTTCAACGTAATTAGCTATTTTGCCTTTTTATTTTCGTGTTTACATTGATTTCATGTAGCGCAACAAACATTCGCGGTCAAAATAACAATAAAAATTACCCTTTTTGTAGTTGGTGGCACAACTTCTTTGTCTAAGCAAACTTTTACTTAACTTATCTAGTAACTTCCTTACCTTAATTTACATAATAATTTCAGCTTCCATTATAACTTTCTAATTCTATCTCTTACCTTTAAACTTCCAAAATGATTCTCACTCGCAAAGCCCATGCTCGCCAAGAGGAGTCTAAACTCAGCCTGGCTTTGAGCGAATTGAAGGCATCAAAGGAGTTGTGTGATCAATTGTTGGGGGAAAGAGATGACAATGAGAGGGAATTCTTGCTTATTTTGGACCAAAACAAGAAGCTGAAACGTGAAATGGCTCTGTTAAACATTCAACACACAGAAGCCATTGAGGCCCGGGATAGGCTCCAATTCGTTGTGGATGAATTCAAGCAGTGTAGCGAGGAGTATGAAACCACTTTAAATGACAAAACGCTACTAAAACAACAGCTACATGAGGCCAACAGTCAAATTTCTGAACTAGAAATATTAAACTTAAACATCACGGCCGGCTTGAATAATAGTTTATTCAGTGAATTGGTGTCAGCCCAAGCTTCTCAACTACAATATAGTGATGTAAATTTAGATTTAAATCCATTAACTTCAAATCAGACTACAGATAATGATGCATGTCACCCAGTGAAATTTGTTAGTTCTAGTCATAAGAAGCTTAAGAAATACATAAGAATCAGTAAATTTATAACTAAAACAAACAGATTAGTAAAGAGACAAAAGTTCTTCATAAAAAATGTAAAATTAAATAGAGAACGTTTCCAGCTTCTGAAACAACTTAGTTTATACTCTTCAAAATTAAATCAAAGTGCTAGGAAATATGAAACTGATACCCAGAGCCTGCAGTCAGAACTAGAACAATTAACATCTAAGTTAGAAATAATGTCAAATAAATATAGTGCTTCAGAAAGGCAGATGAGGGAATACATGTTGGCAATGAATGAGTTGGTAAGCTCGCAGGAGAAACAGTGTGAGAAGTGCACTCCTGATGCTACACTGCCTGCTCTTTCTGTGCCAGCATGTGAGACCACCTTACCTCATGGTAGAGGTTTACTGTTTAATAATTGTAATCCTAGTAATCATAATATTGTCATTTTCAGTGATGAGATTGGAAAGAACTTAGGTTCAATGTTGACAGATGAATTACCTGGACAGTCTACATTTAATCACTGTATGCCCGGCTGTAGTTTTGGTAATATTTTGGATAAAATTAATAAATATAGATTTAATCCAGATTCTACCCTCATTATAATGTGTGGTAACAGAGGTAGTCTTAATAAAAAAAGTTTAATCAATTTCCATAATTCACTTGCCAAACTGAATTTAAAGCAGATAATTATATTTGCATTGCCTTATATAAAATCATTGCCACAGGAAGAAAACAATAGTAGATATAAAATTAATACTACATTGTACAACTTAAGTATTAATACTAATATTCACTTCATAGACACCAACAATTATGTTGGTCTTAATATATATAGGACAAAAGATAGGTACTATCTTTCAAAATATTATTTAAGACAAATAGCAATGTCGCTATCATATTTTTTTAATATATCAGCCAATAACTTGGCTAAACAGGTTACTCCTATTGAGCAACCAAAAAATATTGACATTCATAATGAGTCACCTAATACTGACATTCATAATAATTTAAATTATTAAATAAGACAATAGAGACAAACTCTTGCAAATTAAACAGTAATAAGGTTATTAATCTGGTTCACCAAAACATTCAAGGCTTTATGAGTAAAGAATTGGAAATAGAGTTATTTTTAAATTGTAATAATGTGGATATTTTGTGTATTACTGAACATTGGCTAAAACCCCATCAGCTCATGTTCAATTTTGGTAAGCACCAGATTGGTAGCTCGTTCAGCAGAGAAAACGCTATACATGGTGGGTCACTTATACTGATAAGTAACCAGCTCAAATTCAAAGATCGTAAAGATATAGTTAGTTACTCTGTTGAGCGTACTGTTGAAATAGCCTGTGTGGAATTGGAGCGGTTTATTGTATTAAGCGTGTATAGACCACCTTCTGGTTTGTATGACTGTTTTGAAACAGTAATGGATGAAGTTCTAAGTAAACTTACAAATTCAAAGAAATCCATCATTACATGTGGTGATTTTAATATAAATTTATTAGAAAAATGTAGTTTAAGCACAAAAATTGTGAGTTTATTTTCTTCATACAACCTTGCGAATTTGTTTCTGGAGCCAACTAGGATAACACCCACTAGTGCCACTTGCCTGGACAATATTTATACTGACATTGTGCCAGTTAACAAAGAAATAATTTCAGTACTTGATTCCGATCACTGTGGTCAGTTAATTTCTTTAACAAAAGAAATAAATATAGTATCAAAACAATTTATCACAGTTAATCCGAAGACTAAAAGACGCATTGAATTTTTCAAAGCTAAACTCAGCAACAAATTGCCTTTGTTGTTGAATTATAAGAATTCTAGCACTTTATATGATAAGTTTTTTAAAATGTACCTAACAGAGTTTAAGTCTACTTTTTCAGATAAAACTATACCAGCTAATAGCAATGCGTCTTTCGGTGATTGGGCAACCACTGGTATCTATAAGAGTAGAAAGCGCCTCTATGAGCTTTATAATGAGCGGACATATATTAACACTGTTGAATTCAGTGAATATGTAAAAAACTATTCTAAATTATTCAAAAAGGTTTGCTCTATTGCTAAATCATTATTCTTAAGCTCTAAGATAAAGAACAGTACCAATGTTATCAAAGACACTTGGAATATTATCAACAGTGAGGCAGGAAGGTCTAAAAAGAGAATAAATCAACATAGTCTTGTAATTGATAATAAGTTAATAAAAGCGGATGTAGAAATTGCAACTGCTTTTGAAAATTTCTTTTCCGACATTCCTGTATCCACTACTAAGTCACTGAATTCATCTCCCACTGTTGCAGAGTCTTTACTCAAAAAACATGTTGTAGCTTGCGATTCAGGGTTTTCCTTCGAGCACATAGATAACAAGGAAATTGTTAAAATCTTTAATACTTTGAATAACAAAAAGACTGCAGATCTATGGGGCAATTCTGTGTATATTACAAGCTCTGTAATAACTATTGTAGCACCTGTATTAGCTCAAATCTTTAATAACTGTATTGACTGTGGTGTGTTTCCTGATCTTATGAAATGTAGTAAAATAATTCCATTATTTAAATCAGGTAGTACTTCTGACCCCACTAACTTTAGACCTATCTCAGTGCTACCTACGTTCAGTAAAATTTTTGAAAAAATTATTTTAGATCAAATGCAAAGATTTTTTAATAGAAATAAATTATTACATGCGAAACAGTTCGGATTTACAAGGGGTCGTTCAACAACTGATGCCGGTGTTGAACTTCTTAATCACATTTACGACGCGTGGGAGGACTCAAGCGACGCTTTGGGAATATTTTGTGATTTATCCAAGGCGTTCGATTGTGTGCTTCATGATACACTGATCAGGAAGCTATCCCATTACGGAATAAGAGGTGCATCTCTGGACCTTCTTACCTCATACCTGAGTAATAGGGTTCAGAGAGTTGAAGTAAACGGAGTGGTTTCTGCCGGGTCTGTTGTGAAGATGGGTGTTCCGCAGGGTTCTATTTTCGGCCCGTTTTTATTTCTTATCTATATTAATGACTTGCCTTACCTTGTAAGGGATAAACACGAGATAGTGCTGTTTGCTGATGATACCTCACTATTATTCAAACTCAGACGACGACAATTAGTTATTGACAATGTAAACAGTGCTCTCTCAGAAATAGTTCACTGGTTTGGTGTTAATAACTTATTACTTAACGAAACTAAAACTAAATGTATTAAATTCACAACACCAAATGTTAAACAGGTAAAAACCAGTGTGCTTGTCAAGGGCGAGGAGTTGAGTCCTGTGGATACAACTGTCTTTTTAGGTATAACCCTGGACGCTAAGCTCCAGTGGGGCCCTCATATAGATGACTTGTCGAAGAAGCTCAGTTCTGCAGCATATGCCGTTAAAAAAATTAGAAATTTAACAGATGTAGATACAGCGCGGTTAGTTTATTTTAGTTATTTCCACAGCATCATGTCATACGGTATTTTGTTGTGGGGGAATGCTGCTGACATTCAGTCTATTTTTGTTCTGCAGAAAAGGGCTATTCGATCAATCTATAATCTTAGTCCGAGGCATTCGCTCAGAGAATTATTTAAGGAAACTAAGATAATGACGGTTGCCTCACAATATATTTATGAAAATGTAATTCACGCTCATAAAAACAAAAGCTTATTTAAGAAGCATAGTGATATACATAATATTAACACGAGGGGGAAAAACAAATATGTTGTCCCTGCCTCCAGGCTTCAGAAAATAACTAGTTCGTTTAGATGTCAATGTATACGCTTTTACAATAAAATTCCTAGCGATATTCAAAATTTGAGCCTCAATAAATTTAAAAGTGTAATAAAGGCTAAACTTTGCTGTAAAGCATTTTATAAAATAAAAGACTACTTAGAGGATAGTCAGGCATGGGAATGAGCCGCTGTAATGTCTGCACAGGTCATGTTGACATGTTTGTAACATAAGTTACACTTTTATATACAATTTGACATTACGTTTATTTTTTATACAATGACATAATCACCTATTGTGACATTTTATTTTTTATTTGACATTTTTTTTTATTTATTTACTGACATTTTTATTATTTTATATTATTGTTAGTGTAAGGACCGTGTGAGACTTGCCGTGCTTTTTGATTACCAGTTATCTGCGTTCTGACAGTTTGAGTACTTGCGCGACCCACCCAAATGTTCTTTAGATCGGTATTGTTCGTCGGACAACTCAGCAGCACTAGCTATACTGGTTGCAAACTGACACTTGCGTGCCTGTCTTCAGAACGGGTCCACTTAAACTGGTGTGGTTCTTTCCTCAAAAGACCACTACAGAATGAACTTGCACGATTCTCTCACATTATGTTATTTTTACATTGTCTGGACTTGAAAAGAGACTGACCTCTGAGTTTGTTTCGGCATTTCTTCTCAGAGTAGTCAGATAGGAAATGCCGGCTTCATCTAGTTTTTCACATATAAATTGACGTGTAAAAGTGCCGTTTTATGGCCTATTTGCAAAAATAAATTCATTGTTTCAATAAAATATATGTTGATCAGTTCCATACAAAATGTGGTAATATTCTATTTCTAATAAGCTATGTAGATGCGCTTATAACTATTAGCTGACTCTTAATCTTAATTACGTATAACGGTATAATGTACCTAGGTAAATTAATTCAAAATAAATATTTTGATTTCAGAACGTCAAATCCCCCGCCCATGCAACAGTTACCCAGCTACTCAGCTGGTAATAATGTGGTAAATAGTCAACCAAAGAACCAACAAGCCAGAGGAAATGTTGCTGCAGTGGAACCTTACAATCATGTACCACATGCTCAGAGCGTTAGTCATAATGCCAATTTCCAGGTAATTTTATAGTTTTTATTAATGCCCATTGTTGTCAAATATTCATGGCTGCGTACGTTTTATTTATAAATCTTGTAAAATGCATTGTAGGTTAAAAATATGTAATTTCTTCCAGGCAATGAAGCAGAATGTTCTACAAAACAACGTGCCATTAAAACAACACACACAAAGTGACAACATACAGAGCCATTTAACGCAGGAAGCTCATTACTTGCAGCAAAAACAAATGATTAACCCGTTATTCAACGGCTACACTCATTCGCAGGGGCTACAAGAGAATCAATATCCGGGGCAATATCCAAACAAACATGAGAACTTTAGTCACGTTCAGCAAGGCATCGGCAACGCTTACGATCAGAAGGCAATGCTCGATCAAAAACAATATATGGACTATCTAAAACAACCACAATACAGTCCGAATAGCACCAGCAGTTCGAATAGCAACCAAACAAACAAAGATCTGAAAATTAACGAGCAAGAATTCCTCCCAGAATTTGCAGCAAGTAAATCAGATCCTAAATATCAAACATTGCCTTACAATACAAAATTCCCACAGAGTACAAACGGGAAATTAAAACCTGAAGTTAATGGCAAAAACAACGAAAACCAAGATGCGAAAAACGCTATCAATGTAAATCACATGACTGTACATTCTACGCCACTTTCGGTTGTGAACAAAAGTCTAGCGACACCTCTAAGTCAAACGGAAACTACATATCAGCAGGAAAACACATATCAGTTGCAAAAATCTGACTCTTCTAGTAGATGTAATCAAGAAGGGAAGGAGAACCAGGCATATCCACAGAATAGGCTAAGTCAGAATAATAGTCAGAACAATGAAGCTTCAAAAGGCAACGGGAAAGGTCAGCAGGTGTTAAAAGGCAGCTCACCCAGTTTGGGGTCTAGTACAACATCTGCTAGCAGTTCTATTGGATTTGGGGTGAGTTTCCGCATATACATATAACACTCTCATAGTAAACAACACACGATTACAATTGGAAACAAATAAGAGGAAAAGGGCACTTAATGTAACACTAACTTAACCCTCGTCTTTAAAATTTACCTTCGATTTGGTAATGGACAAGGTCACAGAGTTCACTGCCTCGTATCGAACTAAACAAAATCACTACTAACTCTCATTACTTCATTTTAACGAAATGCTTGTGTATCAGTTGCTACTCATTCGCACATCACCTGTAAATATCATCATCATTCATAAATTCCAGAAACCTGTATCGAGTGTTGCACCCACATCAGTTCAGGTCTCAAGCGGGAAACCGTCACCCATTTACCAGACATCTTCCACAAAGATCCAACCGGTCCAGCCACAGACCGTTCAAACCCAAAGCATCACTGTATCATCATCAAATCATGTAGCTAGTAATGTGGTGACCTCCCAACCCCAGATCGTTAGGAACACGGCGTCAGGACTGTCTACCAGTACGGGAAGTTCGTTCACCGGCCAGAATGCATCGTCACAGAGTATCTTGCTGTCACCGCCTCAAAGTGCTAGCACGCCACTCTCCACGCCAGATGTTAGCGGTACAGACAAATCCCCTAAACCAGCCCTACCTCCAAAACCCACCATCAAGGTATGTGAATCACTTGATTTGTAACTTTTATTTTCAAATAGACTCATTTCCATTGCTTAGTATCGCATTATTGTCACAAAGAGCTAAGTGATATAGAAAAAGCTACGAAGGATAACAAAAAAATATTTTGCCTATATCTTAATATTTTTTATTTCAGACACCACCGAGACAGTCAGTGAACACCGAAGTTGGCTTCAACCAGTCTACTGACAACATAACACCTATGCCCACCATACCCTTGCCCTCAGACTTGTCAAACGACAGCGACCAACAAAACCAGAAAGATACAGTCAGCAGTACTAGTAGCAACGATATGATCATTAAAGCGCGCCCACTGACCATTAGAAAACCACCGATGAGTGAGCAGCCTAAGCTTAGAAATGTTAATAACACTAAGAATGGTATAAGTGTTAGCATAAATCGACGTATAGAGATGCCGCCAGCGTTTTTATTCCCCGAAATGGATCACTTAGTCGATTCAACGCCTAATGAAAACGGCCTAAAAGATAAGAAACAAAAAGACGAAGTTGATAGAGCGCTGAATAACAATAACATATCGATAGGACAGGATGATAGTAAGGATATTGTTGTGTCGGATATTACGGAGCAGATCAGTTCAGTTGACTTAAACGGTCAGGATTCTCAGGGTACTGAGAATGTTCTGAGGCGAAAGAAGGGTAACTTGAAGCAAGGAGGCAAAGCTCCGCTGGCCAGGCGGGTTAGCTTCGATCCCCTCGCGCTGCTGTTGGATGCTAGTTTAGAAGGCGAGTTGGAACTCGTTAAGAAAACGGCAACACAGGTATGAATATTCCTAAATATATATTACTTGGTATTTTTCGATTCACCTATTTCTCTCCCAAAAAGATTCACATGATGAGAAAGACTAAGATTAAACTATAATAATTATTTCAGGTGCAGAATGCAAGCGCTGCAAATGACGAAGGGATCACTGCTCTACACAATGCGATCTGCGCTGGGCACTTCGAAATCGTCAAGTAAGTACTTTCCTATTTATTTTTTGTGTCTTCATTCGGTCTTGAGCATTCGGTTCAGTAAAAATATTGAGCTATTCAGTATTGAAATCTCAAATTATATGTGGAGAAACGAATATAATGTTTACCTACTTACAGATTCCTAGTGGAGTTAGGTTGTGATGTAAACGCGCAGGACTCCGATGGCTGGACGCCACTGCACTGCGCCGCATCATGCAACAATCTGGCTATGGTCCGCTTTCTCGTCGATAATGGTAAGTTAATGTTTATTTTTTTCTACTGACTAGTTTTTATTAGTCAAAAAAGTAAGATTTGAGGATGGCTGCCGTTTTTCTAGGAATACGGTAAGATGAAACATCATAGACTTTTGATAGGCATCCGAAAAGAAAAGTTAGCATTAGGTACCTCTAAATAGAATACCCCTCAAACGAGGACAAATTATACATATGTATAAGTTAAGACGGTTACATCACGATTGTTATATTCACATTTGGTTGCATCAGCTACCAACTCGTATTATTTTGGCAAAATATGTTTATGTACCAACAACGCCATCTAACGAATACTGAATGAACAATTTCAGGTGCCTGTATATTCGCAACGACGCTGTCTGATCACGAGACGGCGGCTGAGAAGTGCGAAGAAGACGAGGAGGGGTTCGACGGATGCTCGGAGTATCTTTACAGTGAGTACTTTTGCAATTAATAACTTACCTGTAGTTGCCGACAGATGGCGCTAAAATAAATACCTATTCAGAAAATTACCTATTTTCTTTTCATTATGTTTGTGATATTCATGTCATAGGCAAACGTATCGACAGGAAAATAGAAATCTCGTCAATAATTCTTTGCTCTTCAATCAGTGTTGATTCCACGAGCAAAGTGCTAAGCTAGTAATGAGAAAACTTGCAAATTGATATCTCCCTTTGTACTTATGGGCCACTCTGTCTACCATAGGTATTGAGTAGATACAAGAGGGAAGTGTTACAAATAAGAACCTCTCATTCTAATATCCAATCATTTACCGGGCTCTACTAATAACCAATAACTATTTCTTTCACAGGTGTACAAGAAAAACTAGGCATAATGAACAACGGGCTGGTGTACGCGGTGTTCTCGTACAGTGCAGCGCGCAACGACGAGCTCTCATTCGAGACGGGTGCACGGCTGCAAGTGCTGCGTAAAGGAGATGATAATGAAAGAGAATGGTGGTGGTGCCGGGACGACCAGGCGACTGAGGGATACGTGCCTAGGAACTTGCTTGGGGTGAGTTATTTTGCTTAGAATAAATAAAGTCAAACTAGCAGACGGTTTTAAATGATGATAACCTCTAATGGAAATGGAACTGAGATTCGTAGCCCCAGAGGAGCTAGGTGGAAAGCTGATAAAAAGCACTTGGTTGAATTTTACTTGGTTTGAGAGAAGCCTGATTAGTATCAGGTGATGGTAAGCAATATACGCCGTCCACGGAGACCTTTAACACCGGGGTTACAAGAGCATTCGCCCGTAGAGGTTGTTCCTTCGGGAAAACACAAGTCAAGCGTTGTTTCGTGCCAGTTTTTTGTAAAACTGTTATAGCAATTCGGTCGAACTGCACTATTCGTGTCGTAAGTACTACTAGGTACTACAACGAATGAAAAAATGTTTTTATAATAACTATCGTCAGACATACTAAATTAAATAAAAATCGCGGGTTACTCACGAGTATAAATTGAGAAAAGCTCTCGAAAAGTTTCGAACCACAGAGGGGTTCTTCCTCGTGAACAGCGTGCGCGGACGCCGGCGATGTCGCGCAACCTGCTGACTAACTACTAAACTAGTGGATTTTTAGTCAATTTACGAATGAAAAAACTTTATAAATCCATCCCTTCCACAATGGTCACAGCTGCAGCAGCTTGCAGTAGGTAGATACCTACGATTTAAGTATTCAATTGGATAATTTAATTAATAGTGTCGTTTCGTTTGTTTCAGTTATATCCACGAGTAACCACACAGCAAGATTAAATTCTTGAACGATGACCTGATTAATTTGTAAATATCTATTAGTTACTTTTATTTTTTATGTATTTATATCACTGTAATCTAAAAGTAACGACGCTGTATACAATTTTATCAAATCTAATATTTTGTAAATATTTAACTGTATAAGTCAAATGAATGAGATTATATTGTACATTTTATAAATATTTTGAGTCATCACTGATATTATTGGTCATAAAATTTGTATATCTTAGTTCTGCAAATGTTGTGAACTAATTACACATAAACTGACAATACAAATAATTATGAAGAATTATTTTGGAGTTTTATTAAATTTTGTTCTGTATTCTGAGTAAATTACCTACAAACGTTGGCTTGAGGCCAGCATGATAATTACACCCCCTGTCACATCCAGATGTTGAGCGATATAGTCTCTCTGTAGGTACCCCAAGCGGTATCTCTCAGCGAAGGCAACTGAGCTCGTGACCATTTTATTGTTTGCGACTAGACAACCCAAGCGAGCCATTTGAGCTACCTAAAAAATCCAGTGATTTGAGCAAATCTAGGTTTTATTTTTTAAAAAGGTTTCGAGAGAACCTGTCAAATGGCGTACTAGCTTTTTGGGGGAAAATAGGTACGAGGCAGTGTGGTATTTTTATCACACTAAATCCTCCCCGATGGCCACCGACCAGCTAATCAACTCTGGATTTGATTGAGGCTACCGAGTGAATCCTTGTTCAACGAGCAAACTTTAAGATAAGTCATTGAGCTATCCCTTGACATTGATAAGTCTAATGGGCTCGATCGACGGAATCCCTTTTGTAGCTCTTTTTTAATATCTTTAAGGTTTTCTCCGTAGACCAGACGAACAACATGAATGGAAGTTTTGGTCCACCCAGTATCCAGATGATTATTGCACGATTGGCGCGGTGGCTGGGCTGCGGCACAACGTGTCGCGCAAATTTTCACTTGAATATAAAAGATGAAATTAAATATCTTTTAATGGTTAACCACCACTGTATCCAAGAGCATAACTTAACTTATGTAAAGAACAACCATAATACACGATCTATGGCTGCTGGTAGATTTAATGTACCCAGAGTCACCAACTACTTTGGTGACAGAACATTAAAAAAGAGAATACCTTATTTATTAAATAGTCTGCCGGCAGACATAAGGAGTGAAACAAATGAAACAAAATTCAAGCGTAAATTAAAATTATATTATTTAGAAATTATTTAAGACTTATATGTAAGTATGTAATTGCAAGTTAAATTATCTATATAGTATTTAGTTAAAAGTAAAAATTGTTATTAAGGATACTCACTGACCCCACAGTCAAACCATTACAATGGTTTTGTGGGGCTTAGCACAAAAGAAAAAAAAAAAAAAAAAAAATCTCGTATTTGTGACAAGCGGGCCGCTGTGCAGTTTGAGACGTTGTCGGACCACCGGTACATCGGTTACACCCAGATTGCAGGCGACAGCAAGTCCCCAACTCCGTTTCATGACTTTTTTTTCTTTATGTGGTAGGTCGGCAAACGAGCATACGGATTACCTGATGGTTAGCAACCAGCGCCGCCCATGGACACCCGCAACAACAGAGGAGTTACGTTTTTGAGATAAAGGATTTGGGAGATTTAGGGATTGGGGAGGGGAAGGAGTGGGCCTCCTGTAACCTCACTCACACGGCGAAACAACGCTGTGGCTGTTTCTGTGAGGCCGTGGTATCACTCCGGTCGAGCCGACCTATTCGTGCCAGTAGCAGTAGCATGGCTCTCCTACAAACGACGGCTCGCGCTGGTCGATGAAGTGCATCGATAGGGCTACTACTCGAGAAAACTCCCATGGTACACCTCAGGACCATAGAGTCAGCAACAAACGATCCTATTGACGTTGAAAGAGTCAGTGGTTTCGCGGTGCAACAATAAAAATTTACGACGGGTCGATGTCCCGGGTTTGTGCTCAGCCTGCCAAGCGTCAAGTGTTCTGGTGGACTTATGAAATCGCCCATCTGCGCGTTGCTTGTGTGGCAGCCCCGTCGCCAGGACACTCGATACCGCCCACGACGTCGACGGGATCTCGCTGGAGAGCCCGCGCATTACGAGGTGTATCGTGCATCAAAAATTGGAGAATTTAAGGCTCGAGCTGGGGAAGAGCTGCTAGAGACTAGATCGTGACCAGGCCGGCTACCCTCTTATTTTGTCAGGGTAAAATCCCAGCGCCCAGTGTAATGCGAGAGAGATTGTCAGACCCTTACTGACTGAAATCCCCCCTTTCCTTCTCCTGCTCCGCAGAACCGAGGCCGCGGTGACTCATTGCACCTACCTAACCCGCAACTCGGGTGATCATCAGGGCCCCGTCTGTGGTGTGTATTGGCTCTTTGAGGCGCGCACGGAACTGGTTCTGGTCGGGCGGCGAGCTACCTTTACTCGCCATCCGCAGACCCGCGCTTACAGTGGCCGGGGATCATCTCTCGCACCAGCAACGGTGCAGCAAACGTAAATGGTACACGTAAGCGACCGCGATGTATTGTGAAACTGGACGGTAATGACAGTCGAGCTTGTTATAAACACTCTTGTTCTCGCTCTAAAGAGCTCGAATCCTTTCTGAGAAGCCTCTTCAGTGCGAGCCTAAAGCAGGACTCCTAGTTCATGGAAAATAAGGTTCTGTTTAACTTGACTGCAGTGTCACAAGTGGTCACTGCTGACCTTATTACCGTCGAGGTAACCCGACTAGTACCTACTCGATTACTGACTCGGGAGAAGGCACGACCATCTGTTATACCGCGTGACGCCGGTGTTTGATTGTTCCGGAGCCAGATGCTCGGGTGCAATCACTGCATGTATTGTGAAGAGGACATGCTAGTGGAGTACGCGGCGTGGGATGAACCACGTCCTGTCCTTATTTCAGAGATAGTAGATGATTTGTCGCAGCTGTCTGTTATTCAAAAATGGTCGGCAGTGCGGAGTCGTGAGATGCAGGGGTACTTATCCTTGTGTAAGAGACTTAGATAAAGGTGTGTTGTCGGAGAAGGAGGCTGCGGAAAGTACCTAAAAGGGGAAATCACGAATTCTCTTCCCACCCGCAGCAGACGCACTTTAAACCAGCTAGCTAGACGGGCACACAAATATGATCGGCAAGATCCCTTGTCACTAACTACTTAGAAATGTAGGTAATCGCATTGATCATTTTGTATATCCTGATTACAACCTTTTGCCATCGACTTGCGCGATAGCATCCTCAGTTCCATTTGACTGCACGGATAGCAGTGGCTGGGCAACTGGTTGCTGTGTAACTTTGTGTGAACCACAAATTGTTCTGTTTGTTGCAAGAGGGATAACAATTAAATTGCTTAAAGAATGAGTCTCTAAAACTAGAAAGAAATATCGGCAACGATACCCTACGTGCCCATTTCTATTTAAACGCATTAAATATAGACATATAAAGCAATGATAAAGGTTGGTTAATATTTATATTTACCCATATCTTCTACTGCTCCGGTGGCCATGTGCGAAGGCATGCCTTCTAAAACTCAACAAATACCTACCATCGAGCAGCCACCATATTCGCTAGATATGGGTCCAGCCGAATTCTATCTTTTTCCTGAATTCAAATTACCACTTCATGGCACCCGTTTACAATCAGACTCAATCAGTAGAAGACAGAGGGGAATATCGTAATGCATAATATGTTTTAATCATTAATCTCTTTGCTCTTCAGGTATAGTTTTGATAATAAAGTGGATGGAGGAAATTTTATATTTCCCACGGTACACCCAGGTGAACCAAGGTGAACAGTAGTAAAAAAAAACTTCCCGCTGCACACCAAGGTCAAGGTAATAATATCTACAAGTATTTCAACTTCATAGAAACGGCCGAAACGCGAACTATACCCACGCGCCCGATGTCGGGACGCGCTCGGGACGCAGACAGACGCGGCTGTACCGCAGTGACGAACGGACGGTGTGTTCTTTTATTTAGAAATCAGCTCGAGTACATTATTTAATATGACGAATAGGAAATATTGTGCTGTTATTATGTTTGGTTGCATGAATTCGTCAATAACGCATCCGGACATAAGTTTTTTTTAAATTACCTGGAAACTCTGAAAGGTAAGACTATAAAATAATTTTACTTACTAGTAGCCTAGGTAGGTACATAATGTGTGTCTTTATGGATCATTATTTCCAGTTATCTCACGAAAACAGATGTTTGAATTTATAAATAATATGAATAAAGTTATTGAGACGAGTGAAATAGGTAGTTATAGGCGGTTCTGGTTCTGAATGAATCATGATACGTTAGGTACCTACCTACTTACGCTTGTGTTAAAACGGTTCATGTATGTTTTGTTAGTTTGTATAATTCAAAGTAGAGAGTGTGGTATTTTATTATTAATAATATTTGTTTATTATCTGCGTTTATGAATAATACTAGAAAATATTTAATAACAACAATAAAACAGCTAGACATGTAATATTTTGATGTTTGAGGGTTGTGATTTTAGAACATTCGTAGTCAGCTGTTCAGTTCGGCATTAGTGGCCAAAGAAATTTTGTTTGTTTATTTTTAAAGCACTTTATTTGTTTATATAAAAATGGATATTTACAATCACAAAACTAAATGGAAACAGAAAGTAGACAAAGGTAATTAAAATACTGGAGACGAGCAGCCCTAACGCATGTTTACGTACCGCGCGGCTGTAGGTATTTATTTCTTTCAAGCGGCCGAGTTACAATACTGTATGATATTTATTCTGTGCCAAGGTGGTCTCACGAAGTGTACGGTGGGCAAAGAGCGCAAAATTCTTTCACTGATGAATTTTGGCAATCCGACCAATCGAAACCGAAGCGAAATCCGAGGCAATCTTTCAATGATGAGCTACAATGTTCCTAAGTGCTATATATAGGCTATAAAATATCACGTTAAGATCAAATGGAGCCGAGCAGCGGGTGAAACCGCGGGAGAGTAGTTAGTTTTGTACATTTTTACCCTAGTGAACGATGGGTATTATTTTTAGCACCATTTTTAGACAAGCTATTAACGGTTTTTACAAAAATGGAACTTTATCAACTGGAGAATTACAATAAGTAAAAGAAAACAAAAGAATAATATTATAAAAATTTATTATCTAAATACATTTACATGTCTCCCTCATCAGAATCCTCGATATCAGCCAGTGCCTGCTTGGCCAAGTTCTCAGCTTCCGTTACCAAT